TTCGAATGCCTGGACGCCGCTTGTGCTCACATTTCAAACGCTAACTCAAAAATAACTGCGCTTTCAAAGTTTCTAAAAAACGGGCGGGACACACATCGTCGAATTCTGTGCCGACGCGTAAAATATTCCATACGCCAATTGGCACGGGTTTCGATCCAGATTCTTTTGGCGCGCGTGACACATGGCGCGAAAGAGTCGGTTATGCGACGTTTTCGCGCGCTCTCCGTCCCGCCAGGCGAAAGTCCACAATTTATAGATGTTAAACGAACGCTCCATGACTTTGCATTTCAGATCGGTAAGCTGATAAGAATCGTACTTGATTCTTCTCCAGACGAGTAGACAGCCTTTCAATATAAGCTTAAGTTTACGTGGTTATCTTAAATGGTTATCGTAGCGTAAATGACAGAGAAACAATAATAACACTTTAATCTTTTATTCCTTTATGACCGCAGCTGTCATAGAACAATGACTAAGTGGCATTCTCTGACACACCGTCTGTCGCTAAGTCCCCTGGGCGCTAAAATGACAGCTCCAGTGCCAGCGATGATGGAAATGTCGGCACCCAGACTCCTGGCACTCAGCGGGACGGGAGCAGAGAATGCCTGGCCTTTGATAATAGTGCTGACAGTCACGAAACTGGTTCCCCTGGCCAGTGTCAATGTCACCCGCCGATGCAGCGTTGCCACGTGTACGCGCCGGATGATTTGGCAACTGAGGAACGCTCCGGCGGCTCATACTCGGCGGAGATCCCTTGGCGGAGGCGGGGCGAGGTTCACGTTCTTTCCTCCCATTCTTCCTCTTCTCCTTCTTTCTCCTTTCTCCTTCTCCTGCTTCTTCTTTTTCTTCTCCTTCTCCTTCTCCTTCTCCTTCTCCTTCTCCTTCTCCTTTCTCCTTCTCCTCTCTTCTTCTTCTTCTCTTCTGGCTTCTTCTGTTTCTCCTTCTTTCTCCTTCTCCTTCTCTTCTTCTTCTTCTTCTTCTTCTATTCCTTCTCTTCTTCTCTCCTTCTCCTTCTTCTTCTTCTTTTCTCTTCTTCTTCTTCTTCTCTTCTTCTTCTTCTTTCTTCTTCTTCTTCTTCTTCTTCTTCTTCTTCCTTCTCTTCTCTTCTTCTCCTTCTCCTTCTCCTTTCTCCTTCTTTTTTTCTTTTCTTTTTTCTTCTTCTTCTTCTTCTCCTTCTTCTTCTGCTTCTCCTTCTTCTTATTCTCCTTCTCCTCTCCTTCTCCTGCTCCTTCTTCCCTTCTTCCTCTTACTTTCCTCCTTACTTCTTTTCTTCTCTCCTTCTCTTCTCCTAAACTTTCTGCTCCTTTTCTCCTTCTTCTTCTTCTTTTTTCTCCTTCTCGCTCTTCCTGCATCTTCTCTTCTTCTCCTCCTCCTTCTCCTGCTTCTCCTTCTCCTTCTCTCTCCTCCTCCTTCCCTCCTCCCCGTGTAATTCATTCATACTCCCACGCTTCTTCTTCTCCGATGTCCTCTTCCTACGTCTGTTTCTTGTCTGGAGGTGATTCTTCTTCTCTTTTTCTTCCCACAAATCCCCCATCTCCATTTTCTTCTCACTCCTCCTCCTTCATCATTTCCTCCTTTTTTTCTTCTTTTTCTTTTCCTTCTTCTCCTCCATATCCATCTTTTTATTTCCTGCTTCTCTCTGACCCCTACCCTTTCCGACCTTCTCCCTCCTCTCTTCCCCCATCTCCCCCTGTCTAACTCTTTTCCCTTTCCCCTCCTCCTCCCTCCCTCCCCCTCCTTCCTTTCCCCCTTCCCTCTCCTCCATCCTCTTTCCTCTCTTCCTCTCCTTCCCTTCTTCCCCCTTCCCTCGTCCTCCTCCTTCTTCCCCTTCCCCCTCGTCCTCCTCCCTTCTTCCCCCTTCCTTCCTCCCCCCCCTCCTCCCCCTCCTTTCCCTACCTCCTCCCTTCCCCCTTACTCATCCCTCCCCTCCTCCTCCCCATCCTACCTTCCCTCCCTCCATCCCCCACCCTCCTCCCTTCCCCACCCCACACCCGCCCCCATCCCCCCATTCAAAGCTAATCTTTCCCCTCCTTTTCATCCTCAATTTATCGAGCGAATTTGCCGACACCCCGACAGGTGAGAGCGCCCGACCACGCCGCCGAAGGAGCTGTCGGCGGCGGGTGACGGAGAGACTGAGCTAACGAAGGGGCGGGATCGAAACGCCCCAATGGACACTGTGAAGCGTAATCATCATTAAACTGTAAGTCTACGAGTAATTTAACAGTTAATCGTTTCGAAATGGTTAATATATATAAATAATTATCGTTGAAATGGTTCATATATATGAGTAATTAAACTGTAAATCTCTTTGAAATGGTTTTATATATATGAAATAATCAAACTAATGTACCTCGTTGAAATGTTATATATGGTATAATTAAACTGTAAATCTCTTTGAAATGGTTTATATATATAATTAAATTATGTATCTCGTTGAAATGGTTCATAAATAAACTATAGGTCTCGTTGAAATGATATCTTCGAAATGGTTAATATATATAAATAATTATCGTTGAAATGGTTCATATATATGAATAATTAAACTATAAATATCTTCGAAATGGTTAATATATATACATAATTAAACTATATCTCGTTGGAATGGTTCATATATAATTACTTGAAACTATGGACCGCGTTGAAATGGTTCATATATATAAATAATCAAAGAATAAATCTCGTTGAAATGGTTCATATATATAAAAAAAAACAATAAATTTCTTTGAAATGGTTAATATATTTAAATAATTAAACTATAAGCCTCGTTCACAAATGGCTCATATATAATTACTTGAAACTGTACAGCGATTTATGTAAAGGGTGGGTGGGTGGATATATAGATAGATAGGCATATAGATAGGTATGTAGATGGATGGATGGGTGGGTGGGTGGATATTTAAATAGGTAGACATGGATGGATGGATGGATGGATAGATATTTAGATAGATATATGGATGGATGGATATTTAGATAGATAGAAGGGCAGACAGACAGAGAAACAGACAGATAGATAGATAGATGGATGGAGGATTTAGGGATAAACAGAGAGATAGGAACGCAGAGACGGTACAAAGAGAATGATAGATAGATAAACCGAGAACTCCGACTCGAAACGAAGAGGGGGAAACAAGGAAAACAGCAAACGAAAGACAGAATCAAAACAAAACAAAGAGAAGCAACGACAAAAAAACATAAATCAGAGAAACAGAAAGCAAAAGAACGCGGGAGGGAAAAGTGCAGGTATGTGTGTGTGTATGGAGAGAGAGAGAGAGAGAGAGAGAGAAGAGAGAGAGAGAGAGAGAGAGAGAGAGAGAGAGAGAGAGAGAGAGAGAGAGAGAGAGAGAGAGAGAGAGAAAGGAAAGATGGACGAAGGGAAATAGAGAAGAAAGAAAAAGATATAAAACAGAGTGAGTGGCAGAGGAAGAGAAGATGCAAGGGAACAGGAGAAGTAGAGAAGAGGAGGAAAACGAAGAATAAGAAAAAGTAGGGAAAAAATAACCAGACGACAACAACACGGGAGGAAATTCTCAGGATTTTCCTAAAAGACTTCTTAGGAGTGGGGGGGGGGAAGGGGGGGGGAGGTTTCTGGAGTCCACTGACTCTAAAAAATTTCCCCGGGATTCCTCGCACACACGCAGAAGATCGAAGAGAGAAAAAAAAAAAGACAAAAAGAAAAAAAAGAAAAAAGAAAGAGAAAAAAATGAAAAAGAAAAGAAAAAGAAAAAGAGAAAACAATGAAAAAAAAATAAAAAATAAAAGAAAAAACAGAGCTTGGAGGTCACTTCTAAACATACATAAAAACGAGGAAAGAAATAACAATTACGAACAAAACCAAAAATAAACAAACACAAAGAGATATAGACAGAGAAAATAAAAGACAAAACAACAGATATACAGATAAACCCATGAACAAAGGGGAACTAAATAAATTCAGAATATAAACAAGACCAAAACACAAATAAAACGCAAAAAAAAAACAGCAAGACAAAGCAAACCAGAAAGAACAAGACAGAACAAAAGAATTTGAAGTAATAAGCAAAAAAGGGAGAGAAGCAGCTGGACAAGACAACCCTCGAGGACGAAGAGGAAGAGGCGGGGGTTGGAGAACAGGTACGGAAGGAGGGAGAGGGAGAGAGAGAGTGGGAGGAGAAGAGAGAGGGAGAGGGAGAGAGAGAGACAGAGAGAAGAGAGAGAGAGACACGAGAGAAGAGAACAGAGAAGAGAAGCGAAGAGGAGAGAGAATCTGCCAGAGGTCTCGGGGGAAACACGCCAACCCGTTCGCAAAAAGCCGGTTGGATACATTCATATATATTACAAAAAAAAAAAAAAAAAAAAAAAAAAAAAAAAAAGACGAACGCGTAGGTTAATGAAGCCCTTCGGAGACGTTAATGAAGGAGGGGGGGGAGGGGGGAGGGGGTGAATTTGCCAAAGGGAAGTCGGGGGTTTTCGGGAAAAAGCACGCCGATCTGTTGAGGTTATCGCAGTTATCACAGTTATCATAGTTATCACAGGCACGCGACCAAACGTAGAAAAAGTGACAATCGAAAATGAAGAGCAAGGGTGATGGTGATGGTCTTGGTGATGATGATAACAAAAGAAATAGTAATAACGATAATATCAATATAAATAATAATAATAATAATAATAATAATAATAATAATAATAATAATAATAATAATAATGATAAAAAAAATAATAATAATAAATAACAATAATAATAATAATAATATATATACAACAATAATAATAACTATAACAATGACATAGTAATAATATGAACAATAACAATAATAATAACAACAATAATAACAAAAACAAATAATAATAAAATAAAATAAAATAAATAATAATAATAAATAAAATAACAACAACAACAAAAAAAAAATAATAAATAATAAATAAATAAAATAAAATAATAATAAATAATAAAATAAAACAAAACAACAACAAAAAAAAAAATAAAATAAAAAATAAAAAAAAACACCTCCTGACGCAGCACCCAC